TTTTTTTTTTTTTTTTTTTTTTTTTTTTTTTTTTTTTTTTTTTTTTTTTTTTTTGACCTAGGCAGCCTCAAAAAAACATGTTATTTTAATTTTTATTATTATAATATTAGCATTAGAATAAGAACTTTGGCTCCACGTATCGCCATCAGTCTCATAGTTTCAAAATGCGTATGTTAGGAAGAGGTTTCCACCCCCTTATAAAGAATGCTTCGTTTTCCTTTCCAACCGATATGAGATCTCACAATCCATCCCCTTGAAAATCCAGCGTCCTCGATAACACACCAATCGGTGTTTGGCTTTGTAACAATCCAAGCCCACCGCTTACAAATATTGTCCACTTTAACCCGTTAAATATCACCGTCATTCTCACGGTTTTAAAACTTTTCTGTTCAGGAAAGATTCTCACACCCTTATAAAGAAAACTTCATTTCCCTTTTTCACCTGACATGGAATATCAAAATCCACTCCCTTTGAAAATCCAGGGTTCTCGCTAACATACCGCTCAGTATCTTACTCTGATACAATTTCTAACAGTCCAAGTCCACTACTAATAGATATTGTCCGCTTTAGCCCGTTGTATATCGTCATCAGCCTCACGGAGATATTTTCACACCTTATCGAATTTTTACCCTTTATCTTAAAAATACTTTTTAAAATATTAAAAAAATGCTAATTTCCAAGTAAAATGGTTTAACGCCACTCTTAAAATTTCAGAGTATTTACAAAATGCTCATCTAAAATTATTTTTATCTTAATATATATATATATATATATATATATTTTTTTTTTTTTTAAAAAAAAAAATTAAAAATTTAAAGATATTTTTAGAAAAAAAAATATAAAATTTAGTATTATTTTTATTAATTTAACCAAAAAAAAAACTCATAAAAATGGAAGCTTTTTGTCATATTGTGCATGGCGACGGCGATGGCGACGGCGAATTGGAGGAGAGGAACTGCAACTTTCGGCTTAGAAGTGGAAATCCCTCATGGAAATGACTAAGAACTCATTTCTCTCCGTTTGAAAGCTCTGAACTTTCATTGATTTCTCTCAACCATTTACAGAATCCCATCAAGAACGGAAGAACAAGCAGCCAATCGGAATCAGAATCTCCCCTTTTTCTCTCTCCAAAAATCTCGCCCAAATATGATATTGTTTTTCAATGGGGGTGGAGTTTGGAGGTGTCCAAATTCCACCCACTTCAATTGGTCCTCTAGTTAGTGCCCCATTTTTTTAAACCTAATTTAGCTTTTAACTTTCTTGATTTTAAAAAGAGTAGCCTTGTAATTGTATTGTATTGTATTGTATTGTATTGTTCCTTCAAATCTGTGTGTTCTTCGAGTTCTTCACTGTTCCTCTGCCACCATTATTAGTACCACCACCACCATCCTTCTCTTTGCTTTAATGGCCTCCTCTTTCCCTCCATTTCCTTCTTTTCTTCTTCTTCTTCTCCGTCTTTTTCTTCCCCCACTTCCATTTTCAATCCCCTGCGCCTCTGATTGTTCGGTTCTTTGATATTCATCTTGGTTTTTAGATACCCTTTTGCCCATTTCTTCACGGGTTTCGCTCTGCTTGACATTTCTGGTAAGCCCCTTTTACATGCTTAACTCACTGATTCTTTGTTTTGGTACGATTTTTCATTTGGGTTTCTTCTTTAATGGTGATCTGTCTGAAGTTTCTGTGATTTTGGGGTGGATTTCACTCTGTTCTTGACGGTCGGATGTTGTTTTTTTAGAGTTGCCCATAAGGTGTTTGTTAATTTGCCTCACTGAAAAGTGATTTGGGATCTGTTTGGTACCGTTTGTATCCTTGATCTTTGTGAAAGTGGCTCTTGGAATTTAGCATTTGGGGCTTGTTTCTTTGAGGGAAATGGTTAGAAACTGATGAATTGATTGAGTATTTGATTTGGGGTCTGAAGTGCATATGCTTGTGTTTTGTTGATCTTGTTTTGCAGTGTTAGATCAATGTATAAGGATAAAGGTTTAGAGGGTTGTGTTTCTGGTTCAAGGAAGAAGAACAATAGGCGGGACTTGACCGTTCCCCGTAATTCCGCACCACGCTTCGCCCTGGACTATGGTGTCGGTGAATCCTCTGGTTTAAAATCTCAGGATGCAGATTATTCCATTCCTTTATTTGGTGATGAGTTAGAGCTTTCAATCTTAGCTAGGTTTCCCAAATCCGAGCAATGGAAGTTGTCTTGTGTGAGCAAGAGATATCTAGCTATTGTGAAGAGTGGTGAGCTATATAAGATTAGGAAAGCCATTGGATACAAAGAGCCTTCTGTGTTCATGTTAGCTAGTGGGGAGAGTAGCTGGATGATGTTTGATCGGACTTTCCAGTCGTGTCGTAGGCTTCCGATCCTGCCATCGGATTCTTGCTTTTTGGATGCAGATAAGGAATCACTTTGTGCAGGCACGGATCTCATTGTTACCGGTCGAGAACTTACAGGAGGTGCCATTTGGAGGTATCAGCTAGTAGAGAACAAATGGATCAATGGCCCCTCTATGATCAGTCCAAGGTGTTTATTTGCATCAGCCTCCTCTGGTTCGAATGCATTCGTTGCAGGAGGGATTGCTCTCGAGTTCAGCACGGAAGGCGCTTTCGGCATGGGGATGGAATATGGACAGACTGTGTTGAACACTGTTGAGAAGTATAATCCTGAAAGCTTATTATGGGAGCCTCTCCCGAACATGCACCGGTCGAGGAAGAAGTGCTCGGGCTGCTTCATGGATAACAAGTTCTATGTCATTGGAGGAAGAGACAACGATGGAAACCATCTCACTTGTGGCGAAGTCTTCGACACGGAGAAGAACTCATGGGATTTGATTGAAAACATGCTGGAAGACGCCCCGATTTCAACTTCTCAATCGCCTCCTCTTGTCGCTGTCGTGAACAACGAGCTCTACTCGCTCGAACCGTCTTCAAACGAGCTGAAGGTGTATTTGAAAGGGCGAAACGAGTGGAAGAACTTGGGTCCAGTCCCAGTCCTTGCTGTTGTTAACAAAGGTTGGGGAGTTGCATTCAAGTCACTGGGTGATGAACTTCTGGTAATTGGTGCATCAGTTGAATCATCTGCAAACGATTCGATGAGCATCTACACTTGCAGTCCCGATCCGAGGGCGGACCGATTGCAATGGACACGTCTCGACTGTGGCACGAACCATCTCAGTCCCTTTATTCTGAACTGCTGTGTCATGGTTGCTTGAATTAAGCTCTCATCAAACCATGTTGGTTGTCTTCAATGTTCTAAGTAAATAAAATGCATCCCTCATTCGGTACCTTCACCTATCGTTCTGACTAAATAGTCGAATCTATCTCTTAGTGGTCCTTTTCTCTACTACGAACCCCTTCCCAACGAGCCCGGATTGATTTTGTAAGTCAACCAATTCAAAGGGGTGAATGTGGTCTAAAGTTGTCGGAACATATGTTTGCTTTATCGAAGCTTTATTAATGGAGTCTTGATTGACCCGTCAACATAGGTTGACTTTCCCATATCAATTCGGTAAGTCAATTAACACTAGGCTAGACTCAATAAATAAATTAATTTTTTAGCTGACAGTTTAGAATCAAATTGATGTCTCAATCAAACGTGTCATTTGAGAATCAAATAGAAACTAAATTCAAACCTCCTTTGGGTTTAGAAAATTTAGAGATCAAAAGATTATTTTCGAATATAAATTAATAATATGTTATCAAATAACATTTTATAATAATTATCAATTTTTTTTAATAATTTAAAATTTTGTGCTTTTGTCTAATAATAACCAATGAAATTAGGTTTTAGAAAAGGTATTACTTTCAAATAGAAAATACATAAAAATAAAAATATATTACCGGGTCGGGTTATTACCCGAATGGGTCGGAACCCGAGTTGGTGGACAATTTTACCCTTTACATTTCTATTTTTCTTTAATTTAAAAGAAAATATTTATGAAATTTTGGTTGTAAAAGAGAAACAGAGAGACAGTGTGAAGCGAGAAGCCATTGGTAAAGCGCTTTCTCTTTTTCTCTCTCTTCCTTCTCTCTCTTCCTTCTCTCTCTTCCTTCTCTCGCTCCTCTCGCTTTTCCGCCATTGTCAATTTGATTCTGTTCTGAGCGAAGAGGAGAAATCTTCACTTCCAGTCACTTCTCCATCTCTGTAAGCTCTTCAATTCACCGCATTTCCCCTTTTTTTTTCTTGTTTTTCCTCGATTTTAATTTTGATCCTTTCTGTTTTTTCCTTCAATTTCATCCTTCAATCCCTTAAATCCAACCTCCCTTTTCGTTTTCGTAATGCGGATTGTATAATTTGATCGATTGCCTTCGTGATTGTCGTCATTTCTCCTCTTGTGGACTGTGTGATTTGGGTTAGGGTTTTTGACGTCTCGATGTGGAGTTAGGGTTTCGGTACGCTTGATACCATTTCTTGGAATTTGGAGATTTAGATTCTTCTGCTGCTGGTCTATTTCCTCGAGAAGCTGGAGTTTTTGTACTGGTAGGTATTTTTCTTCTTCCTGTTGTTTTGTGTATTGGATCAAAAGTCTGAGATACGCTTGATTGCTTGGGGGATTTTGAGGTTTATTTGGCTGGATTTGAGGGGGCAATGTTAGAATAGTCATTTGAGATTTTGTTGGTTTGAAACTGTTCTGGTTAGAGTAATTGGTTAGACAGTGATGTCTATGAACAATAATAATCCGCCGAAGAGCCTTGGAGGGACTTCTTCATCGCCTTATGGAAATTCTGGTATAGTTCCACCGTCTATGGCAGCAAACGCCACATTTTCTCAGCCGCAAGCTCAATTAGGAGCTGGGTTTCAAAATCCATTTCAGCTGTCCCCTGCTCAGGTTCTTGCTCAAGCTACGTTAAAGGCGCATGCTCATGCCCAAGCTCAAGCTCAAGCAGTTCACGCGCAGTTTCAAGCTCAGCTACAAGCTCAAGGGCTGTCTTTGTCTCAGAGCCAGAATGTTGGTGGTGGGAACATGGGTTCTCCTTCGCCAGGATTTTCCACACCTGGTCTCGCTGGTGCAAAGCGGATTCCTCAAAAGCCACCAGTTCGGCCTCCTATTCTTTCTCCTGGTACCACATTTTCACCATTGAAAACAATGGAACTCACGCCTGCTGCTCGTAAAAAGAAGCAGAAGCTACCTGAGAAGCAGCTTCAGGATAAAGTTGCTGCAATCTTACCTGAATCTGCGCTCTACACTCAGCTGCTCGAGTTTGAGTCTCGTGTCGATGCTGCTCTTGCAAGAAAGAAAGTTGACATCCATGAAGCTCTTAAAAACCCGCCTTGTATCCAGAAAACTCTTCGAATTTATGTCTTCAACACATTTGCAAATCAGGTTAACACAATACCCAAAAAACCAAATGCCGATCCTCCTACCTGGACCCTTAAGATAATAGGTAGGATCTTGGAAGATGGAATAGATCCTGATCATCCTGGGGTGGTACAAAGATCAAACCCTTTGTACCCAAAATTTTCATCTTTCTTCAAGAGAGTAACTATTTCCTTGGACCAGAGGTTATATCCAGATAGTCACATCATAGTATGGGAGAATGCTCGATCACCGGCACCTCATGAGGGCTTTGAGGTGAAAAGAAAAGGGGATAAAGAATTTTCGGTTAACATTCGGTTAGAAATGAATTATATTCCAGAGAAATTTAAGCTGTCGCCTGCTTTGATGGAAGTTCTTGGTATTGAAGTTGATACTCGCCCAAGAATAATAGCGGCAATCTGGCATTATGTAAAGGCTAGGAAACTTCAGAATCCCAATGATCCATCTTTCTTTCATTGTGATCCACCTCTCCAAAAGGTATTTGGGGAAGACAAATTGAAATTCACCATGGTTTCGCAGAGAATATCACAACACTTGTTCCCTCCACAGCCCATACATCTGGAGCATAAGATTAAGCTTTCTGGGAATAGTCCAGCGGGTACAGCATGTTACGATGTGTTGGTTGACGTCCCTTTCCCAATTCACAGGGAATTGTCTGCTCTATTAGCCAACGCAGAGAAGAACAAGGAGATCGACACATGTGACGAAGCAATTTGTACAGCTATAAGGAAAATTCACGAGCATCGTCGAAGACGTGCTTTTTTCCTTGGATTCAGTCAGTCTCCTGTGGAGTTTATTGATGCCTTGATTGAATCTCAAGGCAAGGATCTCAAACTTCTTGCAGGAGAAGCTAGTCGAAATGCTGAAAAGGAGCGCCGGTCAGATTTCTTCAATCAACCATGGTATGTTTGTTCCTTATTTCATCTGTTTTTGCTTATTAGCATCATTTTTATTCATTCGCAGTTCATACGTTAATTCAGCGGATTTTCAATTTTCAATTTTCTTTTAACAACATTTTTGTTTCTCACCCGTGGCTGTGTGCAAGATATATTCATAACTTCCTCCCTTCTCTATAACTGTTTTGTTTTTGCATCATAGACACAAGTTATGCACTATATTGTTCTTTCTTTTCTCTTTCCAACAAAAGAGATTATTCTTTAAGCTTTTAGCTGCCGCCCTCACACAGAATCTTCAATAGGTTGCGGATTCTAAAATTGGGATTACCTGTTATTCCTTTTATCATCTTGATCTTGAATTTAAGTTCATGGTTGATTGAACAGGGTTGAAGATGCTGTCATCCGGTACATAAACCGAAAACCCACAGCAGGGAGCGATGTACCTGGAAGTACATGACTGGGTTCTTGTTGAGCTGCTATGGATTGTCATTTTTTGTTGGGATTTTCATTGGATTAGCATGCTACGATACATGTATGACACCCTTTAGTTTAGTAACAAACACCGGATGGTTGCGATGCCGTGCAAAGGCTTCATTAACGCACATGGTATGTGAATTCCATAAAACTCGCTCTTTTAGTCCAAGCAAGCTTTAACCATCAATTAGCTGGTGATGCCAATGCTTCATTAACAACATATGGTTTCTTCATAGTCATTTTCTTAGAGCACCCTTTATTGTAGCATGGAATATTTCTTGTAGTCGAATCTGCAACCATATAAAGTTGAGATTTTTTCTGGTAAAGCATTGTGTAGATGAAAGTTCATGATGATTTGTCAATTATTCCTTGAACATGTAGTTTGTAATCTAAATATCATGTTTCTTGATACTTGGAGGAGGTGCAACTAGAGAAATTCGAGATCGGCGATCTGTTTCTTGATTAGATCGACACGATTTAATACTATTATCTTATAGAAATCTATCAATGTTCAGCTGACAAAGATGAATGGCCATGACTATTTTTTATTTGATGGGAAGATTTTCTCCAGATTATTTAATTGCTGAGATCTTTATTGAAAATTGAGTTTGAAACCCCATATGAAGGGTGATTCAGCCATGTCACCTGCAGTGAGTTCATCCCAGTTTATCATCTTTTTGTTTATTATATGAGTGAGGAATCCTTGGAAAAATACCCAGTTGATTTGAACTCTAGGAACATGAATACTCAAAATTTGTTACAAACTAAACGAAGAGGTGTGATGTGAGCTCTTAGGGAAGATCGGTTTGTTATCCTTAGAGTAACTTTTATCCGTTGAGCGAACCGCTCTGATTCTGTCTTGTCTTCTTGGTTTCTGAATTCGTGCTATCAACTGTTGACACATTGGATGTATATTTTCAACTGTGATCTGTCAGTTCAGTGTTGGAATTGTTGACTTGAGTCTTCTTCTGATTGTTTAAATTGGGAATTTTGTTTGTCTGTCTTGAATTGGCTGTCTCTCTCTCTCTCTCCTCTTTCTCTCTCCTTTGACACAAAACTTTGAAGCCGCCGGCCATGTGCGCCGTTAACAGCGGCACAAACACAGGGTGGTCGGCGGCAATGGGTTTGATTCTGAATTGGCTGAGAATTGACGCCACCACATACTTCATCTGAATGAAAGCCATTTCCTTCCCCAAACACACTCTCGGCCCTGCCTGAAATATTGGAAACTTGTATGGACTGACCAACTTCACCCCTCTTCTCCGGCCACGCCCGTCGGGTTCGAGAAGCCATCGACTCGGCTTGAACTCGAACCAGTCCTTCCCCCACAAACGCTCCATTCTACCCATCCCATATGGGAAATATGTCACTCTATCCCCGGCTTGGACCGGAGTCCCGTCTGGTAACTGATCATCGGCAATGGCATGCTTTGAATCCCATGGGACTGGCGGGTACATTCTCATGGTTTCACATAGGCATGCCTTGAGAAATTTAAGCTCCTTTAGAGATTTGTAGTCCAGTTTTTGTTCAACTCTTAATGCTGATTCCAAGTCTATCTCTTCGACTAATTGATTCTGGATGTTCGGATGATGGGAAAGTAGCCAAAACAGCCATGTCATTGCAGCCGAAGTCGTGTCTCGTCCTGCCATGATGAAGCTTATGGCCATGTCTCGGATCACCTCATCGTCATACCCAATCGAGATTAACCTACAGAAAACAAAACAAAGTTAGAAGAAAGATTTTCAGAGGTCTAATAGATATAAATTTTAAAGTTTATGAACGAAATTGGTAATTTAACCTCGTTATATTTTCAATAGTTTATGTATCTCTATACTTTTAAATTTTATAATTTTATTTATAAACAATTTTTCAATATATTTTATAAAAGAAATAAAATATTTTTTAAAAAAATAAAAATAGTACACCCAAAAATGTAAAATATTATCCATATTGAAAAAAATAATTCTCTCAGATTTGGATCTTACATTTTTTTTTTTAAATAAATATATGCATGAAATGCACACAAACATTATATTATAATTGCATGTGTCAAATAATATTTTTAATATATGATTTGATTATCATCTAGTTGGTCACCTGGACAACAGATCTTTTCTCTCATGGAGATCCTCCATCTTCTTCCTCTCCCTTCTTTTCTCAATTATGTTCTTCACTTTCCGGTGAACCTCCGCCACCGCCGTCTTCAGCTGCCACTCCGATCCAACCCCGAACCATCTCTTCACTTTCCATATCACGTAAACTGGCTCCATCGCCCTCCCAGCGCTCACTTTGGACGCTACGTCAAAGCTCTTTTCGAGTTCGAGAATAGTCTCTTCTTCGCTCCCTAACACAACTTTACATATTACTCCGAATGCAAATCTTTTGAGTAAATCCTGTGATGATAAAGTTAGAAACTTTTATTGTGATTATATCAATTTTTTTTTTTAGGGTTTTTAAAAAAAATTATATTATTTAATTTCATCGAAATCAAATAGTTATCGAATAAACTATAAAATGTCATTTCTCTTATCCTGTTCGCTACGCCCTTACCTGTAAGTCTACAACTGCACCATCTCGAGAAGATGTCTCGAGGGCGGGCAACAACCGCATCTCGACCTCCGACTCCAACGTCTCGACGACAAATTCCTGCAACGACTTGGCGCTGAACTCATGGCTAGCCAGCTTCCGTTGCGTGCGCCATAGCTCGCCGTCCACGTTGAAAATGCCACAGCCAAGAAAGTCACCTAAAATCTCAGTGAAAGGCTTCCCTTTAGGGAAATTAACGAAATGGGTCGTCAAAATATACTCAACGTTATCGGGGTTCACCGTCACCACCGTCCTCCGACATCCGAGGCGGCGGACGACGATGGTACCAGAGGCAGATCCCGACAATAGCTCAGTGTACCAATCCAACAGGCGGTTCCGGTTATTGTAGAAGGATAGGAGACAGCCGATGAAAGGGTACGTCGGCGGCGAGGAGTGACTGAAAAAGTCGCCGGCCGGTGGCCGGAATCTGAAGAGGAGGTAAATGAAAATGGATATGGAGAAGAGAGAGATGATGATACCCATGAAAGTATGACAATGGCATTGGGAATTAAGAAATTATATTATAAAGTGCGAAAATGTAGGGTTTTTAAATATCTTATGTCTTAATTTTATAATATGCTTCGAAGACTTTGGTTTAAAATATAATCACTCGTCAATTAATTTATATAATATGGTTTTAGGGGCGACAAAATTATGTTATATAAATATAATAAAAAATTATAAATAATAAATTACTTAGTCTTATTTTTATATTCTAATGTATACACTCAAATAATTTACAAGAAATTAGTTTTTTTTTTTTTTAACTTTCTAATTACTAATTACTTTATTTGATATTATTAATTTGAATTATTTAAAACAATAATAAATGTCTTATTTTTATATTTATATTATATTATTGAGCCAATAAAAAATTTACAATAGTAATATAAATTAAATTAACCTTCCTACCTTCTTTACATGATTATAATATTTAGTTAAGAGAAATTAAAGAAATTAAAATTTACTTAAAAATTACTAATTTATATAAATTTTTAAGAAGATAATTAATTAAGAGATTATATATTTAAAAAATATTGAAAACTTTAACGGGCCATGGCCATGACATCTAACGACATAGCTCAATTAGTCAACATATTACCTACTTTTAGTTAGAAATTGCATTAAAAAAATTTAAATTAATTGCCAAATGATATCATAAAAGTAATTATATATGATACAATTCAAATTTCCTATAAGGTGCTTTTATGTCCAATCAATGAAATAACAATATATTCAAACAAATAATATTGAGATAGAAACATTTTCAAGATAGAATACATTTTCAACAGTGCATCCTGATGATTTTGACACGCTCATGACAAGTCTTAAAAAGAACTGAAGCTCATATACATTTTTTTGCACATCTTTGTAGGTTCGTCGGACCTTAGGTGAGGTTGTTCGATCACACACTACTCATGCGTGCATGTTCAATCTTCTACATTTTGCTTCTACACTAGGCCAAGTCATCCAACTCGACCTTGTCTTGTCTCTACATTAGATTAAAGTCTATCTCATACGATCATCTTAGTTCTTAATTAACATATTCTACATTTCTTGGTATCGTCACATATATAAAATAGGTAAAAGTTAAAAAAAATAATAATAAAAAAACTTCCATTTTTAGGTAAGAAACACGTTGATTGATGGGAGTGGATATGGATATGTGATCCTCTGCAGTTTCTGCCTGCTACGACCAGATGATGAGGTTCAAGTTCTAGACAGCTCCTCTTCAACCCAATCCAACTACGCCTACCGTCCGATCAATCCCACATACCCTCGATGTAAGCCCACTGTTTCATCCAACGGCTCAGCTCACACCATTCTACTTCTCCTTTTCACCTTCCATCAAATGACATTGTCAATAAATGAGATAAATTATTGGATAAGGTTGTAATCTAATTATTCATTTCATATGTCTCAAACATACTCGACATTTATTTGAAAGTTACAAATCTAATAGATACAAAAACAACTCATTTCAGTTAAAAGAATTTTGATCTTTAAATGAAACTAAAAATAAAGTTATTAGAACTTATGTCTAAAATGGACAACGGCATACAATTGTAGAGATATATAGAAGATTGCTGTCCATAATAAGTGGTATTTGGAACAACGATCTTGCTTAGCCATTTATATAAAATCCTTACGTGTTGGGTGGACCTATCAAAATCAATAGCATTTCTCTCCATTTTTCTCTATTATAATAACGTATAAATATAATATACTAAAAAGATAATATAAACTATATAATAGTCTAAGTTAAAAGTAATACCACATTCCTTATTAAGTTCAAAACAATATACTAACAAAATTATATGCATAGTTTCATGATCTTTTTTTAGTATGGTTGTATAAAAAAACACTCACCTAGCTGTTTGTCTTGGAAACTCCGAGTCAAAGTCTTCCCATCTGCCCATGTGACATTGCCATTATTGTGGTTCCCTTCTTCTTCCTCGAAGCAATCAAGGCGGCTGCCGGAAATACTGCTCCTCCTCTGATGTCGAACCTGCTGGAGAATTCAGACAAAATATCAGTCGCACTGACCAAAAACAACACAATTCCAGGATGGATTGAGTACATAACAGCCGACAAAATCAAAAACAGTTTCGTTGCAAGACAAAAGACATGCCATATTACTGGGCCAAATTGGAAAAATCGGTTAGGAATCACGACGCTCCACAATGCCAAAAACACAAGAGCTTTGTGTTTATAATTCATATTGTCACTTTGAGTATACTCATGGCTTTGCTTTGAGCTTCTTCAAAAGGCTTCATACCAATGGAGATGTATTCCTTACTTATCCATAATCATTCCCTAAATTAGCTAACGTGGCAACCAGACCTTCACGGCTAAAGCAGACTTTTTGGGTTACCAGCTGACCTTTGAAGTGACACCAAGTAGTCACAACTGTTCGGTTACAGCTCCATTGTAAATCTCAGCACCAGATACTGACGCGGTGTTAGCTTTAGCCAGCATTATTGGCAGGAGTCCTGAGAGGTCCATGGCGTTTGTCTGGGCAGCTGGGGAGATGGAGAGCCTGTGAACCTTGAAATTGGAAGCCAAGCAAATGACACCACTCCAACCATTTGGCCTGCAATTGACTCACATCAGACAAAAACAATGGGTATAGTGATGCCAGATGGTGGTAGGTAGGATTCTAAGATGCTCAAAATGTGCTGAGAAACAATATGGTAAATCTCAAAAAACTTTAAATTAAGACATACCTTTGGTACTCATGATTTGGTGCAGGCAACTTTGTAGTCAATGGAGGAGGATTCGAATTCGGAGAGGATTTTCTTGAAGGCTGAGGGAGGAGTTCTACTGGATTCAGCTCCTACTCCTTTCTCTTCACCAAATATATGGTGGACTACACTGGGGAAAGTCAGATACATAAATTCAAAACACTTACTTTGTACCACAAGGCAATGCTGCGGTAGAGATGATATCAGGAGTTTCATCTGGAGTTCAAGCAGCACTAAGACTCCGAGCAGATTCTTATAGGAAACCTGTTTGCTCTGAGGACAGTGTCCAGGAATTCTACATTTTGACATGTTAGGAAACCTGTATTATTGTTGTACCTTCCTTCTTGAAGGAAAATTCAGAATAAAAACCAGCAAACACTGTATTTTCTCTCAAACGGAGTATACTTCATATATCTGTGGAGATAAAATAGAGCTATAGTAATTGTTACAGTACATTGGGATGGTTATAACTTGAAATTTAGAATGTGTATAATTCGCCACCAAATTGGAAGCAATGAAGATTACATATCACTTCTGCGCCATCAATGTAAATTCTGAAAATGCTGCTTCATGTAACCATATGACCGAATTCTACTGTTCATGTGACTCAGATATCTAGGAAGAAACATTTATTTAGGAAGTTCGGAACATAATTGTCAAACGTGGAGAGCTTTTTGTAAATTGTCCATTGTATTGACATTTTGATGACCTGTAAATGAATCAAAATACTGATTCACAATGCTGGAAGTATATTAGATCATAGAAATGCGCGTAGTACTATACAGCTGCTTGGAAGTGATGATTCTATCAAGGAAAATGTAACTTCACCCGCCAATAAAATAGATATGTTAAATCACAAGGTTAATCAATGAACTTTTAAGTTTATGTCTAAAACGTTATCGAATGATGGTTACTTAATTGTGTGACTAATAAGTTCTTAAATTTTTGTAAAGAATGTCTAATAAATCCTTGTACTTCTTTGCGTGTCTAATAAATCTCTTGACTGGTTTGAATTTAAAAAACTAAACAACTTATTATATTTAAAACTGGATTTTAGGTCTAACGGAACCCTAAACTTTCAATTTTGTATCTAATTTAACTCGTCAATATCATAACAATAGTTCTTTACACTTTAGCGTGATGATGGCAGTATAGTGAAAAATATCCTCTAATGTTCCTAATAGATGATGCCATCCTAAATTTCAAATTAATATACTCGAAACAGAAGTTCATTCTATCATGTGCTGTTTTTCACATCTTACAGCCTAGGACAAGATAATGTACAGGAAGGATCGAGTGCCTAATACAAAATCAGTAACATTAACATGCTTCCACAATAGGATGTGATATAAGTATAAACTACCGTTCAATAAACAAAGCATTTGTACTGTAACAGACGACCTATTAATCATATTTTCTCTTCATAGTCGGGTGATAATATTGACGTTTAAGGTTATTAAAGATTTTATTATATTTCATCACACCAATGAAAAAATATTGTTCCCTATTAGAAAAAGGGCTATCAAGGTCATGGTAATGTGATCCTATTGATGTTTTAAGGTTATCGAGATCACAGCCACAGGACAAAAAGATAAAATGAAACTCAGAATCACTTACCATATAAAAGTTACTAAAACTGTCGACATTTCTGATTCTGTATACGAGGCAGCTAAGTTGTTTCAACAAAATTGATCTTTGTTCCACGTTTCAAAATATTTTTGTATTCTTGAGTTTTTGACCAGTCATCAATCTCACGTGCTCGTAAAACAGGCAGAGGATGTGAGAGTTGTCTTGTTTGAGCATTTCTGCAAACACGATCAGTTAGATAAGCAAATGGACTGAAATAATTTGATATAAATACACCTCGCAAATCATTCACCTTATATACCATCCTATAGGGCTTGAAGAAGCTTTGTCATAAGAGCGAGCCTGCTCCAAAAATGCATCCACATTCAGTTGATCCGCTATAGATGGACAGCCCCCAGCTAATTTCATCAGAACAGAGATGACCACCTCTTGTTGGAGCCAACGAGTAATCAAACAGTTGAGAAAAGAATTTTTTTTAAAAAAATTATCTACAGATAAGGAAGGGAGGGAGAGAGAGTCAGAAGAAATATAAGGTCTCGAGTTAAATAAATTCTGTACTTGAGAATCCTGCGCAACGAGAAGGGCAGCACGATCACAAGTTAGCTCTGCTGCTCGAAGCCAACGGAATAACTGTTCTTCTAAGTTCTGGGCTAAAAATCCACCAAGCCCTATGAAACATAATAAATGAATTTTAGGTACGTTACTTGAATACTGTTATCCTGAGCCTGCAAATTCCCTGAATTTATTTTTTTGTTTAAATATCACATCATAATGTTTGTGGTGACATGAATCAAAATGATGTACTTTCATGCTAAAAAATCTTATGTGCACGCGAACAATGCCCTCAATAACTTTATCTTCTAAAATTATAATGTTGCATAATTGCAATAATACTTACGGTTACTGCTCCTTCATTTTCCAAAAGAATCAATTAACTAATAACCCCAATAATTATATCATCTAATCAGACCGTGATTTAATTGCTTACCAGGAACAGTATAAGCTCCCAGGGTAAGAATATTCGCAAATGTAAGCCACACACCATGATCACATTTTAGATGACCCAATTCATGAGCCAAAACAGCCTGAATATTTCAAGTGATAGAAAATTACGTCACTTGAAAAATATGTCATGCGACAGATAGCATAAATAAGAAACAAAGGATGGACAACAAACATGCAAAAATGAAATAATAAATAAAAATATACTTGAGTTCCACGTTATGGTTTGGCCGTGTATTTGTTCAATGATGTATGTGCTAGGCATGTCTGTGTGTGTGTGTGTAGATATAGATATAGATATAGATATATGGATTTTTCTGCATTACAAGAATTGAAGATACAAATTTATTCAGCAACCTAAGAGGCCAAGACTGCATCAGCCATGCATAATGCCGGTTATCATGGGTGCTATTAATGTACAGCATAAAATAACTGCTGACCTGCAATTCTTTTCGTGTAAGAAGCTCCACAAGGCCGGTATGAACAACAACAAACGGCTTTTTACCACTTATGGCTAAAGTATAAGCATTTGGCCCAGAATTTTGACGGACATACAGATCTGGAGCCTCTACATTAAGTACTTGGGCAGCCTCAATCATCAATTTATGAAGTTCTGAAAGCTGAAAATGAAAGAAAGTGAAGAAACATTTCTAAACACTAGTTGAAACACCACATGCTCAATCCCATCACGTTCACATAATAAAATGCTCATCATCTAATGTTCATATTAACTGCAAGGAATCTCTGAGAGAAGCAACCTTTCTGCGTATTCGATTAGAAATACTAGATATCCAGATGCATAAATTTAAATGCACTCGCATCATTTACTAAAGTGAGAAAGAAGAGTTGGAAGAGCTAAGAGACCGTCTTTAAGATCATTAAGAGTAAATATGCATAAATTTAATGTGCAATTTGATTGGCAGATATTACATTATTAGTAAGATTTGACCAAACTTTCATCATGGTGCATTTATGCCTAAAAAATTATAATAAAGTAAATAAATAACTCACTAACAAAATAAGGGGAAAACAATCCATTTCTAACGAAGAAAATTTTAACAAAGACATAAAAAACGGGAAGTGTAGTATTGTCAAGATAATGGATTTTTACGGTTGAGAAACCTGATTTTCAGAAACAAGAATTGATGTTCCTATGTTCTCAAGAAGCATGACTTGCTCAGTTACGGTTCCTGCAATGACAAAAGAACAGTACCATTGACAGCAACAATATTAGCACTATGTAGCCGAGCGATAAAACCAGATATGGAAGTAACTATTTGAAATGTACAATGTACAAAAAAGATAAATAAGTTTTTCTCACGTAACTGCTACAGGTTGGCCTAGCAGCTAATAAGCCAATGTAAATAGTGAAGGGCTTAGAAAATAGATTCAAATCATCCTAGTCAACAGCTACCTAGAACTTAATATCTTATATATTTTCTTCGTACCAAAATGCAGTAACGTCATTCTATTGTCTCTTGAGAATCATCAAGGTGCACGCAAGCTAGCTCAAACACTCACGGATATAAAAAGTAAATAACTTAGGCTCGCACGACCTTATAATCAAACATGTTAGTGTTGGAATGTTGATCTACTGTCTTTATGATTTAACCATCCTGATAAAAACATCAGCAACCTATTTGCAGATCAGATTCCTTAAAGCTCTTTTGTAAGTTCATTAGACATTCACAAGATTAATCCAACTTGTAACAACGCAGTCATGCCCCAACGATAAAATATGGATACTCAAGCTGGAAATTCAGAAAAATGTAGAAATTGTTTTCTAATTGGCATGTCCAAATCAATTGGACGCCCAAGAATCATTCTGAAAGTTCATCAGTTCTCAGTCTTACCTAATAACACCTTCCCCAGCTCGCTCAACCCTGGAATTGCCCGCAAAATCATTGTATTCTGCATGAAAGAAAATTCTTGACTTAAGCAATGAGGTAGCTGACTCATAATGATATTAACATGAGTATTATCAAAATATCAAAATAATAATAAATAAGGATATTGCCATAACATCAGAGGGTATACCATTGAGTTTAATTTCAAATTGGGTATGAATTCTTTTATTAGACTTCTATACTACGATTTAGTTTTTTCTTTAAGATGTTGAGATTTGATTATGATGTATTAATTGTAGAATCATAATCCAGAAAGACAGCTGACTCCCTATTGGTTATGAGGACTTCTTGCGGGCTGAAAGATCAATTCACTCTAGTTCCAAAGCTATAAAATTGGTAACAAAACACCAGATCCAAGCTTGAATTTCTATATCGTAAAAAAAATGAATTACAAAGATTATATTTGTTTAGATTACATTAGGATACTATTTTCTGTCGTGGTATGTACCTCAGAATTCTGCATGTGATGCCAGCTACGCTTCTATCACAATTATTATAAGAAACGATGACAGATCATAATCTTATTTTGTTTACTATACTGGCCAGACGAAAGTAGAACAAGCCAGACTGGTCTAGGAAGAGCTCCTCGTAGAAGAGCTAAATTTTTTTGGTTGAGTTCTATTTTCTTACATCCTTCCCACTGTAACTCTCCCTCTCCAATCAATTCCTCCTATTTGATCTCTTCATTTTTCTAGTCCTTTTTTCCTCGTCATTCAGCAACAATAAGAGAAACCTACAGCCCTCGAAGATAACAAATCTTCACGTATTAAAGAGAACATACGCATAATCTAGGAAGAACCGCTTATCTGTCTCATAGCAGTTAGAGGTAAAGCTAAAAGAAATCCGCTTCCGTAGCTAACAAGAAACTATCCTCGCCTCACCCTAAGACATAACTGGTTTCATCAATCTCAGAAACGACGTATTCATGAACTCAGTAAGGAAATCAGAAAATCTTTGAACCTGCTTATCGAGAGGATGGCGGAAATCGTCGGCATCAAGGTCGCGAAAGGCGAGGGAGGCAGCTCTGCAAACGGAAGACCTAATTCTCTTAGTGATCGGCGCTCCGATTCCGAAGGTAGTAAAATTGAATCTGTGGGAAGGTCGAGATCCGATTGTGCAAGGAGTGGAATTTCTGGCGAGGTAGAGAGAAGAAAAGGGAAGGGAAGCCATGGAAGCTGTTCAGTGGTTTGACTGAGGCATTGTATTGAGAGAAAAGGGCACTTTGGGTTTACTGCCATTGACCGTAGTTACGGTCAGCATTTGGCGCCATTTTTTTTACCGTTCATGACCATCAACGCCTTCCAAGATTAAAATAATATTTTCTTATTTCAAAATTAAGTTAAATTATGAATTGGGCTCGAAAACAAGAGTGAAAGGCACCATCTGTGTATTCTTTTGTTTTAACCCCCACCTTTCAATGGCTTTACTTACTTTTATACTAATAGAGATGGTATTCCTCATTTATAAATTCATTCTACTAAATTAATGGCTTTACTTACTTTTATACTAATAGAGATAGTATTCCTCATTTATAAATCCATGATCTTCTACTAAATTAACCAATGGGGATTCACTCCCAATAATTCTTAACATTTCCTACATACTATTTTTTAACTCAAAACAAGTCTTCCATATGATGCTACAAATGGTTGTTCGAAGGACAAAGTTAATCTCGGACTAATATAGAAAAGGATCGTGCGTGTCGAGCCTTCGAGTTTACCGTTTCTTCGACTCTTCTATTACTTTGCTTGAAATTCAATAAATAATGCAAATAAATTCATAATTTAGCATATTATACTATTTGAGTGAAGAGTTAGACCATTAGTATGTAAAGATGTCTAGAGATGAGTTTCGTATTCTCGTTCCCTTATCTACCACCTATTTCATCATTCTCTGTTCCTACGAAATACTCTATTCATCATTCTCTGTTCCTACGAAATACTCTATTTACGTAGATTACCACCTATTTCATCATTCTCTGTTCCTACGAAATACTCTATACTCTATTTACGTAGATTCGCCGCAGGGAATTTGTGTAGATTGGGTTCCCCGCGGATAATTTTTTTCCGTTAATTTAAGTTATTTTGAATTCCCTGAGAGAATTAGATTCAAACAAAATCAAAATCAAGATGATCCATTCTATTCAAACATAACAAGGAACAAAAAGAAGAAAACAGTTGATGTTTAGCTGCACCTTCAATAAAACGAAACACATAAGCCTTAAATTAGGCTGCATTTGTTTATATATATATATATATATATAAAGAGCTCTATCATTCACTTTTACATTATCTACTCACCTTGTCTGATGATACAATACAACAATACATGAAGAAAATACAACTTTTTTTTTTTTACCTTACTTATTTTGGCTTCAGCCTCTCGCTTGATCACAGACTCATATCCTAAGCTTGCGCCTCCTTGGAAAATCTGTCTTAGCCTTAGCTGACAGGAAGCAGGAACCATTGAGCCCTCTCCATTTCCCATTTTTATGTGATGCATAAGCCCGCCATTGTTGCTTAGCTTATGATGATGATGCTGAACCTGCCTGCTCACACAGGTCTAGAAGATCCAATGTCTGCACCACCAGCAACACAGAATTAAGTATTTGAAAGCCACGAGGGGGAGAAAGGAAAGAAACTTAACAACTGGTTAGGAGGAAATTTTGCTGACAGACCTCTGGGATTGATAGTTCGAGACGGAATTTCGGACCGTCGTAGTGGTGCAAGACTGGCCTGAAGGAATCTTCTTCTAATGCCCTGCAGAGCTTTCTAATGCGGATCCTAACCTATTTGTTCGAAAAACGAGATAATTTTATTAGCAAAGTTTAAGGCTTCCATGAACAGCAGCTTCACATGAAAATGGAATACTGCAGATGAGACTCTACCTGAGCAGGAAACCTGGATTCGCCCTTACATTTCTTGTCTTCCCATGCAGTTGGATCAATGTTGGAACCCCCAAAACTTGCTGCCTGCAATACCCAATCGTGAACAAAAATAAGTAGCAGAATACAGATCCAATTACCGAACAACAACCTCCGAAAAAAAACAAACTTTACTCACGATTTCACTTTTCAGGAACAAATGACTTAACGCTAACATCTACTATTTTGTTGTCATTAAGAGTACTGCAAATATAAGAAATAGAAGAAAAATCTTCCAGATCTGTGGCATTATGAAATGGTTCGATACATTGAAACAAACCATGTCATAATGACTACTTGTATGTTCTTTGACAGTAATTACATATAATAGCAAAAACAGATATCCGTGCAAATCCTAGACTGGAGAAGATGTTTGACATGATGAAACTAACTGAAAAAATATGTAAATATAAACATAACAAACCTCGAAAATGCCATGTAACTGATGGGTAGTGTAGTTATAGAGAAACAGAGGCAAGCCTGGAGTTATTGCACGCACTGAATCCCGATATCTAGGAGGCAAACCTGCCAAGCACACAAAGAATGAAGCATATGAGAATGTGAGTAAAACAGATTATTGTTCTTGTTTTTTAATAGGAAACATGTTAGAATTCTTGTAGGTAAATTAGTTCAAAAGTTCCAACAGTTCATCTAAGATAAGCACACAGTTAACTATATGCAAATATAAGATAAACAGCATAACAAACACACAGTTACTCCTACATGCTGTGTCCCAGGTCAGAAAAAATAAACAGGTGGAAAGCACAATTACCGAAAAGTTGCCTCTTCAAATCTTCCTGCATGGTATCATTGTTACAGACAAAGATGTATCCACCCAGTACTTCGTTTCTGGGCAACGTCTCTGTCGCTGGCAATGTCTTGAATCTTTTGTCAACTGCATTGACTGAGTTGGCATTTTCACCGACGTTATTGTTGGTACTGCTGTAGTTGGTAAGATCTTTGTTGACATAGTCATTGCCATTGTACTTGGGGACAGGCAGGTTACCAGCTACGTTTGTACTGTTTTTACCATAAACAGAACTCATGTTGTAAACTCCATTCCTCAATGAACTTTTGTTAATTGGGTCATTCATTTTTGAATCCAAGCTCAACATGTTGAAGTTGAAGCTTTCAAATTTGTTATCTTCCTGGAAACCAAACTTTTCCCTTGGCCTTGCATCAAGATAGCTCTTTGAAAAATCAAGATTATTCAGACGTTCCCCCTTCGATTTTGTCTGCTCAGCCAGTTTAGATGCAGCCCACAACCATTTATGATCCTCAGAGACTTTTGTCTGACCTCGCAGCTCATCTCCCAATTGCCAAAAGCTATATGAACCATCCATCTTGCAGCACTTGATTGTGATGAAGGCGAAGGAAGATCCCTTTAAGCAATAATGAGGAGAAAATAAGAATAAGTTCACTCTGATCATCCATAAAGAGAAAGTGGCAATATTTGAATGATAAAGAATTACACTGAAACAATGCCTATAACAACCTAGCAGTAGCATTACTCAGGTCAACACATAATTCAGAAGTAGAACCACCATTTTTGTGTATGCTGTGGAGTTTGGTGTTTCATAGATTTTTAAAACGAGTTAACAGATCAGCCATGATGGAAACCATTTGGGCTTGTTTAGTATTATAATTTATGGCAAATTGGTTAAAAAACGGCTGCTGCAAATTATGGAAGCGTGTTCACTTAAAATTCTCTTAATACAGAACAAGATCTTTTGATGTATAAAGAAAAAAACAATTAAGCCATTTCTCAAAATCAGTCTTCGTGAAGCAAAATGAATCCCAAATGAAACTTCGTGGCTACAAAAAAACACAAGTGAGCCACATCAAACTCACATATTATACTTAACACCCCAGCATAATGGTGGAAAAGAATCTCCAAAAGTTCATTTGCGAAACCACTTGAGAAAGCAAAATATCATCCCCAACAAAGGGCAGAAATTTCAGTGAACTGATGCAAGCATGTACATTGAAAACAATTCAAGAAACACATTTTAAGGTACACAGATCAAAACTTCTTCGTTTCAGCCAACCTAAAAAAATTCATCTAAAAACACCAAAGTCAAATACCCATATCACACAAATTCAAAACAAAGTCAAACGTGAATTGAAGTAGTCGTAAGAACATTTCATTACTCATTTCAAAATATTTCTCAGTCCTTTACAAATTTCTAGATTCAACGAAGAAACACAAAATCCTCCCCATGCAGTACACAACTCCAAATCTGCGCATTAAGAATTCGCCAAAAACACAACAGAGCTTCCAAAAACAAGTCCACAACATGCAAACGTCAGAGCTCAAAAGATTAACTAAAAATCAACACCGAGAAAGGAAAAAAAAAAAACCAGATCGGGAGAAACAATTAAGAGATGAATGAGTGTAGAATTAGCAAAAGTGGAGTTAGAAATCACCGTGTACAAACAGATAAGGAAACAACAAGGGAAATTAAGCAGAAACGGAAAGAGAGGCGAGAAATTTGTAAATTTGAAGACATACCTCGGAGTAAAAAGCCCTAGATTTAGGGATCCTGAAATGTTAGAAAGAGAGAGAGAAAAGGCCTATTTATCTGCTTGGCTGAGAAGCCGAGCTACAGAGGAGTGAAGAAGAAGAATCTTTTCATTATTTAAAGGACACTATGACGAAATTGACCTCATCGATTTTTTATAATTACAATGCTTGCCACTGCATTCAATTTTTTGAATTTAGGTTCAAATTTTGAAATTTAAACCACCTTTCTAAGTCTTCTATACAATATATATATATATATATATATATATATATATATATTTTTTTTTTTTTTCGTGAATTTTTTTATTTGTTCCGATATTTTTTCGTTAAATAATTCATGAAATTGATGTATTGAACGATTTTCACGCACCAATTTTGTCGTCAAGTAGCGTTAATAATGTCTTGTACGTCTCGATTTTTAC